TAATGAGGCCTTTTTTTGGCATATGATAGAATTAAATCCCTTATTTTTTATTCCTTTACAAAGTCCCTAATGATGAGATTAGAAGAAAACTTCTTGTTTAAGTTATGATTGAACTAACCAATTTTCTAGCTTGTTTTTCATGTGAGGGTTGTTGATTGGAAGGTAAAGAAAGCAAGGCAAGACTGAAGAAGGGATTGTGGCTAGCATGAGAATAAGATGCTTGAAGATGGACCAAGAAGATTGAAGAATAATTCTCTTTTCTTTGTAAACAGGAAACTTGCAACTTGTATTTCGAATTTGTAAATTTCCTTGTAAATTGCTCAAAATGTAATGAACATGAGACTTAAATGACTTCTCTTTGAATTTATGAATGAGGAATTTGTTTTATGGAGATTGGATAAGTCTTGATATTTGAATGATGGTTATTTGGACATTTGAATTTGAACAAAGGCATTTGGAACAAAGTTGAATGATGATTAATGGAATAATGAACACAATGTTGTAAACCTTGTAACTTGTGACTTCAATTCCAAATAATCCTAATGATCAAACTTTTCATCCTTGAACAAAATTGGAAATAATGGAAATGTTTGAACCAATCTTCAAACCAAACCATCTTGCATTCTCATTGAATTCCTAATTTGAACTCTAATCCAAGTTGACTCGTGTTGCATGAGAACCACGTGAATTCTTTCCCCAAAATTATCATTCTTAAGTTTTGATTCATTTGAACAAAGTGAACATAAATTCAAATTAAAAGCATTAATGAATCTGAATCCACATTTACCTCCTTAACTTCAATTCAATCCCCTAATCCATACCAAACTTGCATGACAAGCAACAAATGTTATTAATGGATTTGATCACAAAGAAACCACCTCTTCATCTTGTACCTCAATCCTCAGAGATATCTTGACTTGGTGAACACATAATAGAAATCCTATGATAGAAGAACATATCAGATGATCCTCGGTTGATGAAGGGCCAACCCTAATCCACTTGTCTCAGATGCTCCATAAGGGAGAAGATAGCTTTAAGACGTGGAGGAGGAAGTAAACCCTAGCTTAAAAGATTCTCCTCTGAAGTACTGATGGAAACCCTAGTATCAACAACTCACAACCCTAATCCAATTGCTTCTTGAAGTCTCTTGATGAAATGAAAACCTTGTAGCTTGATGAAGAAGAAGTCCTTGATAGACATTCCTCAAAACCTTAATGGTATATTTCAATGCTCAAAGAATAACCAGATGAATCATGCTCTATTGATGTAGAAACCTCAAATCCCAAGTGAAACCCCGATTGGCACGACTGAGTAACCTAGGAGATGGTAACTGAGGAGTAAACCCTAATTTTTAGTCACACATAGGGAAATAAACCCTAATCCAAGATCTTTGATGAATTTGAATGAAAAACGACCTTGTACATGGATGAATAAGACTCATGATAACCATACTTCAAAACCTGATTCCCCTGTCCCCTGCCCAAGGAGGAGCCACGGAAATCAACTTCAGAATGTAGAAGCCTCAAACTAAAATTGAACCCTAGTTAGCACAACCACTGATGCTTCGAACCACTGCCTTATTGAAACACATGAATAATGTACGAATGACCTAATGAGAATGATGCAAATGAAATGCAAAGCCTAAGCTAGATAGAAGTGAAAAGGTAAGACAATTTTGGGATATGAAAGTTTCCTTCAATGACCATAACGACGACCCTACGTCTGTCCCTTCACATCTAATGGATGGGGTTACCTACCAATTAATGGAATGGACAACGCCGTCCCTAACGGAGAAGGAAAAGGATAACGAAAGACCTTTCAGTGGGTAAGATACCCTTAATTGCTTGCTCACAAACTAAAATAATTTTCACACCTCACATTTTCAAAACAACTACTTTCAAATGCTTTATAAACACTCTTAAGGACTAATACAAGGGTTATTATAAATCATACTGGCCTACGTTGGCATTTTCAAAACATTTTCAAAGCACACACAAAGCAAATTAAAGTGAGCTAAGCAATTAAGAGCCAGTGGATAACTACAGATGAAAAGGGTGCTAAAACCTTCCCTTTTCATAACTTATCCCCCGAACTCAAAATCTTAAAAGGTTTTTCCTGTTCTTTTCACATTTCCTTATTGGATAAAAGAAAAGTCAGTGGCGACTCTTGCAATCTACAACATTTGCAATAAAATGCAAAAACAAGTTAGTTCTCCCACCGTATTACACACGTCCAAAGGATAGCCTTCAAAAAAGCTCTTCTCCATGAATTAAGGAGGCAACGTAAACTTAGCTTCAGAAGCCTCCCTTGTGAGTTCAAGAATGTCATCCTCTGAGCGACCCCTCTTTCTACCCAAATTCTTCTGCTCAGAAGGGGGTTGACCGACTGTCGAAGACGAAGAAGAAGTACCAGAACCATCCTTGGGTTGGTCCGGAGGTAGGGTGAAGCGAGTCTGGGTCATTTTCTTCAGAACCTTCTGGGCTTTCCCCTTGTTATACACCATCATGAGAACGCGCTCCTTCATACTTGACATCTTATCTGTAGAAAATGACAAACACATGTCAGTATGATGAGGAGAAAAACACACAAACACACTAAAATAAGTAAAGTGTGGCTACCTAAAAGCATGATAGCTTCCTCGAAGGGTTTTCATTTGAGGAGCTCCTTAGTATTGATAAGTCGAGCCTCATACACGGGATAACCCTTATCATCGAGGAAATCGTCCTTATTCCTCGTCACCCACTTCGCAGGGAAGAAACCTTCTACAAACTTATTAAGTTTCCTGTAAGACTCTTCAACCTCGTCGTCCAAATCGCTTGGTTTAATGAGGTAATACTCCATTCCATTCAGAAAATGAGGGAATTTTGATACTATCTCTGACTCATCGTTCCCATCCTCATCATAGCATACATTCTCGTCCTCGTCGACCATGATCGCCCGCTCAAGCATTGAGTCAAAAGCTTCCTACGACACAAGCTTAATAAGGTAATATCGATCCTTGAAATCTCTGACAGAGTCCATGAACATCTTAAACAGCCTTTTCGGCTGTTTTAAGGAAACCTATCTATGTTTCCCATTCGAGGACTTTCGTTGAAGATGAAAGCACCGGAAGAACAGAGGGATCGTAGCCCATATCTTAAGATATTGACAAATGATCTTGAACGCCTGAATAAAGGCGATCACTTTTGGGTAAAGATGGGAAGGCACTAATTCTGGATGACCGAAGACCCCAATCTGGAAATCCCTGAAGAAAAACTGAAGCCCTAATTCCTTGAAGACAAAGTCATACATGGGAAAATGATTCCCCTGGTAGAACAAGCAAATCCTCCCGGCCTCAACGGGTTTGAAAACCTTTCAGGACTACACGGATCCCTCTTCACCCACACTGTGCTCGATGATCCAGAATGCTTCACTCGAGGAGGTGACATAGCGATAGGCTATACCTGGTGGCTCGGGCCCAACCCACGCCAATTCGGAATCTGTAAATCTATCAACCAGCTAGATCCCCTCAACACCGTGAGCCGCCATACCTAAAAAGCAAAGGAAAATAGTGAATTCGAAGATCAAATCAAATCCACCCTTCCACCGCAAATCAAGTGAAAGGGCGTACGAAGGACGAGGACGAACTCCCTGACCAAAGCCCTTACTCAATAGCATAAAAAGGGACCAGAGCAAATTGTCCCCGACTCAGAGCTCAATCAACGAAACCGTGGGGGGGGGGACCCCTTTCGACACCCGGAATTTCAAGGATCTCACAGGGAACGCCTCCCCGTCGTATGAATTTCATCAAGAATTCATGAATCTTGCGGTGAACGTCTCCCTGTCTTATGAATTTCATCAAGAATTCATGAATCTCACAGGGAACACCTCGCTGTCCAAGTGTTACAGGTCACTGAAGATATTTCTGACCCTGATAAGATTAGTATTTAACTTCAATTACAAATATTTTTAATAAAATTGTTTCTGCACCCAGACTATTAATTTCTTATTAGCAAATTTATATTTAATAACAAGTTGCATCAATTTAAAGAGAGATATTAATTAGAAATTAATCTCGTTTTTATTATAAATAATTTATATTTTTTAAAAATATATTTGATATATTAGACAATAAAATATTTATCATTATAAATTATTATATGTACTCACTAATACTATTACATATAAAATAGAGTGGAATAGGAAAAGACATTAAATTTGTGAAAATATTATTGGGGGCTCTTTAGTCTTGGGTACTTTATGGATTGGGTAACTTTTGTGACTTGCATAAAATTAACAACTCTATTCACATTGGATATTCAAATTAGATTTGTCACGTCGTGTGAATAGTCTTTTGCTAGATCCAATCCGCATTGGTTCCTTAGTAAGTTTTAAAATTCAGCAAAATTTTAAAGCATTAAGATGGCAAAAGAGAAGAAATAGCATAATATCTAAGTGACATTTTTCTAGAGTTAGTAATTTGGTTCCATAATCAAAGGCACTTGAAGTTGAACGGGTTTTTAGTTGTGTCTCTTGAGACCTTGATCATTAAAGGACAAATGTTCTAAAAGAAAAAAGGCCAATGAAGTGGACCAATTGACAGTACACTACATCTTTTACTTTCTTATTCTTGGGTTGCATCTAGTGGCACCTACATTGATTTTGAAAAAGACTTCTAAAGCAACATAGTATGCTCGGTTTTATCTCATTCTACTTTGACCAAGTAAATCATGGTAGTAATAGTAGACACTACAAAGCAAGCCACGGTTATTAGCAATGTATACACAAAAGCAATTTCAAATGCATGATTATGAGAGGTCTCTTTTCTCCACTTTAATGTTCTTCTAGTTTAACTTTTGTCAAAGCACACAACAAGAATCTAACCGACCACACAACAAAACAAAGAAAGTGTGTGCTTTATTTCTCCACAAGTTTCCCGCTCCACTATTCCCTCCAACCATACTCCAACACATAAACACAAGGAAACAAACATCACACCAATATAGTTTCCAAACTCAAACATGGGAAACTGCATCGTTGGGTCCATGGCAGATTCTAATACAACAATCAGAGTAATAACGTCGAACGGCGGAATCATGGAATTCAGTGCTCCAATCACAGTTCCTTTCATCACCAACGAGTTCCCTGGCCATGCCATATTCAGAAGCCATGATCTCTTTTGGAAACCACTCAGCCAATTCGACGAGCTAGAACCGGGACAATCATACTATTTGCTTCCAATCAACAACAACAATATTGAGCCACCTCCAAATGGTAGTAGCAGTGGAAGTGATTATGAACATGTTGTAAGACAAGGACATGTTAGATCTCATAGTGTTCCAACAACCTCGTACCCTGCTCCATATAGAATGTCCTTAGATTACCAACACAACCTAGGAATGAGGTTTCTTAAGAAGTCTTCTGTAGAATCTTTGTCTTGTAGAAACAGGTTTTGGAAAGTGAAGCTTGTGATTAGTCCAGAAGAGTTGATGGAAATTTTGGCGCAAGAGGGTCGAACAAAAGAGTTGATAGAAAGTGTAAGGATTGTAGCAAAATGTGGTGACATTTCATCTGCAGCTGAAGATGTTGTTTCTGATCAGTGGAGCCTTTCTAACACCAGTTGGAGCATTTCTTCTAAGACAAAATGAACAAGTAATTTATGAAACATTAATGTCTTTTTTTTTTATGTGAATTTTCTTTTTGTTACTTTTGGTTCAATACTTTTTTTTATATGTATGCAATGCAATTATGTATGTATCATATTTTGTTTCTTCTATATACAATTCAATGTAGATTCACTCTTTTTTTTTTTCATATGACACTTTAGAATTAATGTGTAATTAAGTGTTGTAGAACACTTTATTTCTGTTATGTTTCGACTAGATCTTTTCATTTATGGGCTACTTACCAAAGGAAAAAAAACAAAATTAGAATATAATATTCTCTTCTTTTAGATCCTTGAGGTTTTGATTACTTAGATTGTGGTTACCATATACTTTAGAGACAAGAGTGTGCATCTTTTTTTCTTCTTTTTAGTTGTAGCTTCTTTGTGATGTTTTTGTTTGTTTCCGGTTTATTTGACTTCAACTCATTGTTTGTTTCTTTTTGTTGTTTATATGGTATTGCCTTTTTGGGTTGTTAAAACATACACGAAACTCTTCAAAAACTATCCCTTCCAAAAATCAACTCACAGACTAATTATTAGAGTTTTGGTACAAGTTGGAAAAACTGTATGTATATGAATATCTATTTCTCTATACAATTTGGTATTAAAATGGAAGGTAGTGGGTTGTTAATTTGTGAATTTTTTTTCAAATAATAAATTATTGAAAAAAAATATATAAATAATTAGATTTTGAAAAATATCTAAATAATTATGTTTCAAAAATTAGATACATGATTCAACCATCTCAAATGGCGCATGCATTCAAAATTTTAAAGATGGTGCAAAATGAGATGGTGTTTAGGTGCATGTGTTTCATCCTAAGTCATTTCAGATGTCATCTAGGTGCAATTTTCTTTTTTTGTTAAAAAATAAAAGACAATTTCGTGGATAATGAAACTTCGATTTTCAATAATAATGAGACGATTTCATAATAGGAATAAAAATTACATATTATTTAGTTGTCTCTTGGGACTCCATAACAACCCTTGGTTCCGCACCCGCGTCCTCGCCTAACTCATAGTGCATTTCGACGATTTTCCTGTTGTGGTGGTTGGGTCCAGGGCTCTGCAAAGTCAATGCGTTCAGGATCCATGAAATCTGTTAGATCACCATATCTGGAAGATCCTTCAAACAGTCGGTTACCCATGCCCTCAAAGTTTGGTCGGATTGGTGGGGATGGGGTTCCATGGGTGGTCGACAGCACTGGTCGTCTGAATAAGGGGTGTAATACGGTGGGAGAACTTACTTTTGGTTTTGCGTTTTATCGCAAATGTTGCGGATAACAAGAGTCGCAACCGACTTTTCTTTTATCCAATAAAGGAAAGGGTGAAAAGAACAGGAAAGACCTTTGAGAATTTTTTGAGTAAGGAGAGTAGGTTATGAAAAGGAAAGGTGTTAGCACCCTTTTCATCTGTAGTTATCTACGGGCTCTTAATCGATAGCTCGCTTTTTTTAAAATGCTTTGTGTTTGTGTGTTTTGAAAATATTTTGAAAAATGCCTAGGTGCGGCAAACTTTGTAATGATTCCCGTATTGTTGAGAACGCATACAAAGTGTTTATTTTGAAAATATTTCAGAAGAGAAGTGTATTGTGTGAAAAATGTTTTGAAATGTTCACGAGCAAGCGATTAAGAACTATTTACCTACTCAAAAGTCGTTTTTTTTTTCTTTTCCTCTTCCATTAGATAATGCTATCCTACCATTAGTTAGTAGGAAGCCATATCGTTGGATGTTTGATGGACAGGCGCGGGTCATCGTACAATCATAAAGGAAACTTGTAGGACGCTTTAGCAATTTTATCGTAAGGGACTAAGATCATTTACCGAGGCAACATCGAAGGGTCATCGAGGGACTACGATCTTTTTAGCCGAAGGTCTTCTGCTAAAGTGTCTCACGTTCGAGGGAGATGCTTGTTTTATCCGAAGGCAACAAAGAGAAGCTATCATAGTGGTGTGTGTGTGTGTGTGTGTGTGCAAGAGTGATTCGATTCAATTATATTTATCTTGGAGTATGGTTTTCTAGCGTTTTCTTATTATCTTGTCATACAATCCTATTTAGCTAACAATTATATATACATACAAGGTAATGTACCCCAAAATTTGCCCTTTCGTTTCTCAAGAAATCTTTCACAAGATCTCCTTTGGTTCAAGACTACCTAAAGTTTGATCTGCTCAAGACACCTCCTCATCACTGATGACTCAAATTAGAGATTGAGTTTGCACAAAGACAAATTGACTTTTAATGCCTCAAATGAATTTCATGGATCATTTTGAACCCTCAAGATTGCTAATGTCATGTTTCAAGTCTTGGATCACATTTTTACTCAGTCAATTAATCAGTTGACCTAAAATCAACTATATTGGGGAAAACGTCAATTGTGGTCAACTTACAGTCAAACTTCATAATTTTTGGTCCATATCAACATTATAAACTCATATATGTCATTTGATCAATTTTGGATCATAATTCCTCAAGAAATTTGATCAGATCATTAAAAGGGCAAAATGGTCAAATTTAGGGTTTTGACTGAGAATGTGCAATTTTTTACTTTTGAACTAATCAATGACTTATTGGTTCAAGTAATGATCTCAAGGATTCAAGTACATCATTTTGACTTAATTACATGGCTCAAAACATTCCTCAAGTTGAATTGATTGATAGTTGAATTTCAGTCAACTGATGAAAAGTCAACTGTACACTGAAAAGTCAAACTTTGACCTTTTGATCAAAATCAAGTTTTAAAGATTACAATTCATCAAGACATGTCAAAATATGAAACTTGTTCATCAAGAAACCAAAAATTCAAGATTTCATTTTGAAAAGTCAAAATTTCCAAGACTTAGAAGTTTTCTAAGTGTTGAAAATTCATGTTTTTTTCATAACTTTATGCCAAATTTACACCATGATGCAAGATGATTCAAAGGAAACTTCTAACATGAAATTTGTAGATCTAAATGAGATATAAAACATTGTAGGGTACAACTTTTTCTATAAATTCTTGTATTTCAAGTTATGATTTTGTGAAGACATGCTCATGAAACTTGAGGACTTAGTGAAATTTTGCCCTAGTTTAGGCAGGATTTTGACCTAACCTCATGAAAAATTTTCACCTAGTTCCAATTTGAATTTTCAAAAATATCCAACATGAAGGTTGTATAGGATGTTACAATCTTTCTAAAATGTCCAAGAACTCATTGAGATCATATTTGAGCTAAGTGAATCGAAGCCATGAAGTTAGGGTTTCATTCTTGTATTACAAGTCATTTCTTGATGAACACATAATCCAATCTCAATGTTAGGCTGCATAATATTGCTTTGCAGGCCTTCTAACTTGTGTATCTATCCATCATTAATGGATTACATAAACTTTTGAGCTATAATCCAAGTGGTTTAAGCATTGTCCAATTTAATTTTCCATATTGTGAAGAAAGTTAACAATGTCATTCTTGAAAAGCAAGCTTTATGCACAAAGTCAATTCTTGAGCCTCTCACTTGTTCCCTCTGATCACACTCCATCTACAAAGTCAGAAGAAAGTTTGTTTAAAGCATAACCACTCTACAATAGCAAATACAAAAGACATTAAAACTTGATTTCTCATGAAAATCACATGTTGAGCTTAAACATGTGATTTTGTATTCTGATCAAATACAAGTCTCAAAACTTGTTGATTATAAATAGAGGCCCTATTTTCAAGCTAACACACAAGCTTAAGCATCCTGAAACTCTCCAAAACTCCCTCAAATCAGAACTTGCATAAAAACTCCATAGTTGTGCACATTCTGACTTTGAAACCTAAACTCACATTTCCCTTGTGCGTTTTCATTCCAAATCAATCACAAAGCTTCTATACATAAAATATAGTCCATCTCCATCCATGTTTCATAACTGTAACTCCATCTTCATCATCTTCCAAACTCAAAAACAGAGCACTGCAAGTTGACTTCTCTAGGTCATTCCAGCCATCCACTGCTCAAGCTAATCATTGCATTAGCTTCCTAGGAACTTGAGGAAGCTAACATGATCATTGCAGCACCTTGAATCAAGCTCATTTGCATTTCGCGATTTCCAGTTTTGAGGTATCTTTTCTGAACTTCTATCTTTTCATTTAGGCATTGTTAAGCTTGCATTGGTGAAGATAAAATGTAGATATCATTGCCCTGAAACTGTACATGTCCATAGATTTTATTTATATTGATTGAGCTTAGAGAATTTTAGGTTTGAATCTCTGAAAAAACTTAGGTCAGAATTTGGTACTTTTAGAAATTCTCATTCATCTTTGATTTATAACTTATGATATTTATATGGTTGGATTCGTATGGAAAAATGGAGCAACTTTCATGTTTGCATCTTTCACTTTTGTTGAGAAATGAGCAAGTTACAGGATCCATGGCTGGAGGTTAAAGATGAAGTCATTTTCAGGACTTGACTTGTGTTATGTATTATTTGTTTTGCTTATGTTAACGGATGTACAGTCACCCCAGTGGCAAAGGCAGCGCGTGTTTATCTCAAAGTCACGGGTTCAAGTCCCAGCGCTGCCTTTTGTTCAATTTTTAAACATTTTCTTTCTTTTTACCAGCAATAACCAGCACTTGGGCCTCCTTGGCTGGGCCTAACAGATTTTCTCCATTTTCACCCCCTGCCTACTTTTGCATACTGGCCCAAACTTTCTTTTTTTATTTTAATTTAATTTATTTTCTTTTATATTTTATATTTTATTTTATTTTTCTTTATTATTTTTTATTACTATTATTATTATTATTATTATTATCATTTTTATTAAAAAATCCAAAAATATTTTATTTATTATTTTCACACTTTTATTTTATTTTCTCATAAAACAAAAAGACAAAAAACATTTTCTTAACAAATTTGATTTCTTTTTTCTTAATAAATAATTAGATTTAGGTTTAACTATTTTTCTTTTTTATTTGAAATTAATTTAGAACTTAAGTTTCTTTTAATTAATTAATTTTCATATTATTA